TCACTCCAAACACTCCACACAGTTACTCTGCCCACTCCATAAAGTTACTCTGCCCAGTCCAACCTTTTCACAGTTACTCCAACCACACAACAATTACTCAAGCCACTCCACCCAGTTACTCTGCCCACTCCAGTTGTAGACTACTGGTGGAGGCAAGAACACTTCACACAATTTCCCCAGAAATTGTAGCTTTTCTAGTTTGAAAATATCTTGCCTATTATCCTTGAAAATTGCATAACTGATTTTAAAGATTTGGTAACCATTGACTTCAATGTGGTTCGGATTAACGTTCAGCACTCCAGCACAGTTTATTGAACATCCACAAACCGATCCCAGATACAATCAGTTCATTCCATTTGTTACAAAGGCACAGGGTCTATTACTATACACATTACTATGTCACTTTTTTTCTTTTTGCATTACACAATAGAACCCTTGATAGCCATATAAGAGAAAAAAAAACAACTAGCAAGCTTTAGTTTTTTTTTTTGAACATCACTCTTTGCTAAATGAACCTTAAAGACATGTTTGAAGATCCTGGCATTGAAGCTGAGAGCTTTCATCTCACTTACATACTGTACTTGTTAATTCTTGTTTGTTAACTCTTAAACTGTAGGCTCTATTAAGGTCTATACTAGTGGTGTTTGTATAAGTTGCTTTACCAGTAAAATAAAAGTTGGGGTCAGCCAAAGAGGGCAGTGCTTTTGGATTGTTGTATTAATGGTTATACAGGACAGAATGTGGAGAAGGTAATATTAATCTCAACTAGATTTAGTGAGAAGGATGTAAAGACATTGTAGGATGATATACACTTTTAACTATGATAGTTAATAGTCACAGTAATAAAATGATTCATAAATAGTTTTTGCTATTATACCACGCAATATCCAATAATTACAAATAACTGAATTCTAGTCATGCCACTTATATAGCTGGATATGAACACCAACTCACTATTTTCGTAACTTCTAAGTATTTCTGCTGTAATAAAGTTTACTGGAAGCTTCGAAGAAATGTACTCCTACTCCAAAAACTGTTTATATGTTTATGGTGATAAAAGGCTAAGTTTTATTCCTTGTAATACAGAGTAGGATTAGTCATGAACCTAAAATGAGACTTTCCGCGGAAAATATCTTGTTTGTTGAGAGGATGTATACAGATGTAGCTAAATATACTCTTATTTAGGGAGGTTAATATATTGCTGTTTGGTAATGTTTTTTTTAACTATGGGTTGGAATCAAATTGGGTTGTAGACATGTTTTGATGGGTTGTTACTGGGCTGTGTAGCTTCATTTGTCCAAATGTATGATCAGTGCATTAGTGACAAGAGACATCGCACACAGACTGTAACAGCACAGACATGTACGGGAAACTAGAGGACATGCAAGGTGTGGATAGGAATTACACTTAAAAGGTCTGAGCTCTAAAAACCAAATAAAATTGAAACTGCTTGAATGCCATAATCTGTTATCCTAGCCGACTGCTCACAATGTTTACAGGCGCTGGTGAGATTGAATACTGGCTTGTCAGACACATCGAGGACTACAAAAAAATGGCACCCATTTGAACACTGCCTCTGCATATAGTGAGCTCCTCTTAGGCTAGGTTCACATTTGTGTGGGTGGTGCTGCTGCAGATCCACATGAAAATCCATGCAGCCGCACCACCAGCACAGAGAATGTGGACCCGCGGGCGGGTGCCATTAATTCTAATGGCACTCCGCCCGCACTGGAAAACGCAACCGTACTGGGAACTGAGGTTCCCGTGTGGGCTGTGATTTCAGAAGAAGTGCAGGGACTTCTTCCCTGCGTGTCACGGGGCATGGAAGTCCATTCAAATGAATGGACTCTCATGCCCGCACAAAACGCGGCCCACACGATTGCATATATGTGAGCCAGGGGTCACTAAAAAAATGGCTTCAGCTTGGTCTCTATGATTAAGTCCCTACTGGGTGAAACATGTTAGCGATGGTTCACCCATGGATAGGAGCCCAAGCTGAAGCCATGTTTTAGCAAAAGGGGCTCGCTATATGCAGAGGTAAGTGCAGATGGGTGTCATTTTGTTAGGGTGTGAGCTCTGCTTCACATGGACTGCATGAGGTTGATGCTAAGTCAAATTCAGATGGTTACCCTGCTTGCAATGTAAGAAAAAAAAACTTAAAAGCTGATGAATTACAAATACTGACCCTCATTAAATAGTGTTTTTTTCATCTGCCTGGTGTTCCACTTTAAATAGTTCTTGTACAGTATGTGTATAAGCATGTCCTTTGCATCATTCTTTATTAATAATATGTTGTTTTTCCAGTTTTCTGCTTACAAATGAGTAAACATGCTTAAACTATGCTTAAATGAAAACAGCAACATCTAATGTGTGTGTCTGTTTTTTAATTATACAGCCATAGTTTTTTTGTCATTGTATGGCTTTGATGCCATTTGGTAATAATTCTCTTATTGTCTCAATACAGTAATAATTCTCTTATTTGGGTCTTCAAATTAGAAAGTGTAAGAATTACTGATGTATAATAGTGATGATTAGTTAAATGGTAGAAAATAAGCATAATTAGACGTAGTCCTTAAATAAAACATACATCAAAGAATTCAGTTAAGCCTAGTGACACTTTTCTGGTGTTATGGCCCTTTAAAATAGCCTGGGCCAGATTAAAAAATACCTGCCACCTGTTTTGGCAGCTTTGCCGTTACGTGCATCAAATTCAGGTAGTTTGTAATAGATATTAGTGCAAATTAAACAATTATTTACCTCCAGTTTGTAGTCAACCTAACTGGAGGTAATGAAGACCAACTCTAAGTTGGTGTACAGAGACAGGCAGAGTGCCTGTCTCTGTATGCTGTGTAGCAGGTGGTATGTTTGCTGCTGCTGCTACCCCTCCCCTCCCCTACTTGTCACTGGTTGTTAAGGATGCTGTTGGCTTTGTAACTGTCGTATACACTTTTTATAAATTTCTCAGATTGTTATCAAAAGATATTAAAAACTAAAAATAATTTCCCCCTCATATCCACATGTATGTTTTGCCTATATTAACAATTATTAAAAGACTATATTTAAAACACTTTTTAAAAGACGGTAACCTAAGGTTCTGTTTATAACGTTTTAATATAAGGATAGAGAGTTTTGTTTTCAGTCATGTGATTATTTTTCACAAGCCATTGAATTCAGCTGAAAATAACTGTCACTTTGAAAATAATGATCCTTATCCTGGTGTGTTCACCTTGAATTAGGTCTTTTTCCTAATATACTTCTTTTATCCTCTCCAGCTTGTCCCTTCTGGAAACTGATTTCTCATTGTTCACAATGAATAACAGCACAACAATTCTCTCACGTTGTAGAAGGTATAAACCATCATTATAATGAGATCAGACTGGAGTAAACCATGAATTAGCAGTTATGAACCAAAAGTACCTTGTTATTATCTTAACTAGGCAACTTTTTAGTATAATAAAATCACTACGTATTACTATTCCCTGCACTGGTTCCTTGGTTTGTAGTTATAGGCAGATCTTAATCCAAAGTGGGCTGTGCCATTGCTAGAATCCCTTGAATAAATTCTGTGTAATTAGTGTGTAGCCAGCAGCAAGTACATAAAAGCTTGTATTAGATCATCCTTATAAAAATAGAAAATAGAATAATCTATGACTACATCACTAGACTTGAACCAATGTCAGATGTGGGCCTAGATAGTAGATGCATAGGTTTTATGGACTTTATGGCACTAGCAGCTCAGCATATATTTCCGCCCTACTTTCATGGCGTCAGGCTGTCAAGGACAAAAAATAGGTATCAGTGAAGACTCAGGAAATGTACATACAGCTACGCAAATTGGAAAGTTGATAATCAAACCTCAGCTTAAAGGTCAGGTCATTTTTGTTATGCCAGAACTGGAAAATACTATGTTTAAATTTAGGCATAAGCGCAGGGGCATTTCTTTTTTTAGCATCATCAGTAATCATCATTGGTGCACTTTTCCTTAGACTGGCCTGCGTGCAAGGTGAGGTCATCACAGTCATAGGAAACCACTGCAAGGACAAGAATAATATGAGGGGGCTCCTTTCTAAACTCTAAACTAGGATATCCTTGTAGGTCTATGAGTGATTGAAGCCATGGCACCTGTGACCGATTTATTGGTCAGTCATCGTTTTCATATCATTCATATATAAAAAGTGAAAATACATTCCAACCCTAAAATAATTTATTTGTGTACAGCTATTTTGCAGATGTAAAATGGATATCTATAATATTTATACAATTTTGTATTGGCACTAAGCATCATGAATATAACACTGTAACAGCTGAACTCATACTGCAGACTACCATTAAAGCAACTGTTGCTAAAATAAAACTTTTCTGGGCTTACAGTATAATATTACAGAGAGTGGCACAGGCGTCAACCTTTTTTCTTTTTTCATTACCTGAGGCCGTGCTTTTTATTTTTAGATATGCAGCTAGTATATAGATATAGATACAGTCAAAAGTATTGGTCGGCCTGCCTTTACACGGACATGAACTTTAATGGCATCCCAGTCTTAGTCCGTAGGGTTCAATATTGAGTTGGCCCACCCTTTGCAGCTATAGCAGCTTCAACTCTTCTGGGAAGGCAGTCCACAAGGTTAAGGACGGTGTCTATGGGAAAGTTTGACCATTCTTCCAGAAGCACATTTGCGAGGTCAGGCACTGATCTCAAACGAGAAGACCTGGCTCGCAGTCTCTGCTCTAATTCATCCCAAAGGTGTTCTGTCAGGTTGAGGTCAAGTTCCTCCACCCCAAACTCGCTCATCCATGTCTTTATGGACCTTGCTTTGTGCACTGGTGTGCATTTATGTTGGCACAGGAAATGGCTATTCCCAAACTGTTCCCACAAAATTGGGAGCATGAAATTGCCCTAGATGTTTTGGTATGCTGAAGCCTTAAGAGTTCCCTTCACTGGAACTAAGGGGCCAAACCCAACCCCTGAAAAACAACACACCACCATAATCCCCCCTCCACCAAACTTTACACTTGGCACAATGCTGTCAGGCAAGCACCGTTCTCCTGGAAACCGCCAAAACCAGACACGTCCATCAGATTGCCAAATAGGAAACAGGAGAACACTTCTCCACTGCATCCGACGCTTTGCATTGCACTGTGTGATGTAAGGCTTGGATGCAGCTGCTCGGCCATGGAAACCCATTCCATGAAGCTCTCTACACACTGTTGTGCTAATCTGAAGGCCACACGAAGATTGGAGGTCTTTAGCTATTGACTCTGCAGACAGCTGCTGACTTCTGCTCACTGTGCGCTTCAGCATGCGCTGACCCCACTCTGTCATTTTATGTGGCCTACCACTTCGTACCTGAGTTGCTGTTGTTCTTAGTTGCTTCCACTTTTTTATAACACCTAACAGTTGACCATGGAATATTTAGTAGCAAGGAAATTTCACAGATGGACTTTGCACAGGTGGCAACCTATCACGGTACCACACTTGAATTCACTGAGCTCCTGAGAGTGACCTATTCATTGTTTGTAGAAGCAGTCTGCATGCCTAGGTGCTTGAATTTATATACCTGTGGCCATGGAGGTGATTGGAACACTTGAGTCCAATGATTTGGAGGGGTTATGGACAACAGTTTGTTGCTGGACTAAATGCTTCCTTTGTAAACCAAAGGTTCTCCGTCGGGGGTAGTGTGTAGCCAGTTGATTGGCTGAGAATGCAAACTGAGAGAATCACTGGCTGCATCTGCTCTTTGTGGCTGCTGCCCTGTTGTGCTGAACTGATTAACAGGAGGGAACTGCTGAGCTCAATAGAGTCAGGCAGCACTGCATTGTAGGAACTGTAGTCCAGAGGAGGGAGACTCTACTGTAATCAAAAGATTTTGATCTACATTTCCTAGAGAAAGATTGCCAGGAGGAAGGGAAAAAAGCAGCATTCTCTCAGGTTGTACAAGACACAGCTTTTGCTGTCCAGTGTGCACCACCACTGGTGCATAATGGCAGCTTGAGCAGGATGTGGAGTCCTTATGTGCCAACATCCTGAGTCACTTGAGTGCAAAGCGGTGTGACCGAATGGTGAGCTGTAATATAACTGGGACTGGTGAGCTTCTGCTAGAGAGACTGAGCCATTTGGGAAGTGAGTATACAGCCATCTAATAGGCGTACTGTTGCCTACAGGCTCTGAGGAAGGGGGTTTAGCTCCCGAAATGCGTTAGCCTATCTGCACGATTAGACACAGATGTATTGTGACTGTTCTTGTGGACCACTTTTACTGTCTTTTATCACGTTGGTTTGTGAGTATATATCCTCTTTTCATTTAATAAAATACGTGTTATACCACGGTAATGCACGATGAGAGTGCGCCCTTGTTTGTTCTTTTCCACTAGTGGTCTGATTCCCCGATCTTAAAAGGGCAGCACCTCTTTGGTTGGCATTTTGGCATCGCCTTGGTTGTATGAAGACTGGAGCGCTGGTTTCGTTCGTTCGTCATCTTTTGCCTACAGGCTTGACTGGGACTATTCTCATGTGCACCAACTCAGGCCCACTGAAGAGTTAGAACTAAAGAATGTCCCTTCATAGCTGCTACACAGAGACCTTCACCTATTCTGTAAGCAAAGAGTTACCTTTCCGGGGAGATTGCACCATTTCCTACTCATTCTCCTAGAGTGTACTCTAGACTAGTTATATTATTATTATTATTCACATTGCAGTTAATGTTTATTTGCGTTGTTTATTGCTGATTCATTTGTTAATCCCTGTCTAGTGAAACTCTATTCTAAGTTACCTTGGCATTATGATTATACTGTTTAGTGGACTGTATCTGAACCTACCTTCTGTGTGTTCATTTATGCTCAATCTACTATTTATTCTAATTCGTACCAACACATTCAGTTAATTTACCACTAAACAGTATGGTGTCTAAACCCCATTGAAAATCTGTGGAATTAAATACTGCAGTCCACAAACAGTCACCATCAAATTGAACTGAGCAGTTCTACAAAGAAGAGTGGGCAAATATTGCAAACTCTAGATGTGCAAAGTTAGTAGAGACATAGCCCAGTAAAAGGTTGGAATTAAAGCAAAAGGTGGTTCAACAAAATACTGACACAAGGGAGTGATCCTTTTTCCAACTCAGTGATTCCGTTTTTGATGTTTTAAACATTTTTCTGACATGTTGGTGTTATATCTTTCAATTTGATGTTATAAGTTGCAGTACAATGAGTAAATACAGCTGGATAAAACAAATCTGTGTCTGTCTTCATTTCAGGCTGTAAAGCAACAAAATGTGATTATTTTAAAGGGGAGGGGATTCTTTTCTATACCCACTATAAATGAATAAATGATGCAATCACTTAAAGCTGAACTCTGGGATATAGAAATATTGTCTAAATACAAGAGGTATGTGGATCCTTCCTTGAATAATGATGTGCTTTGTTGTATTTCTCTGCAGTAATCCAGAAAAACCTTGCCAAAAGAACAGTCCTTGCAGCTCTCTCTCTCTCTCTCTCTCTCTCTCTCTCTCTCTCTCTCTCTCTCTCTCTCTCTCTCTCTCTCTCTCTCTCTCTCTCTCTCTCCACCCCTCTGTAGTTTTACCTGCTAGGGTCCTCCCACAGCTCTGCTCTCTGCATATGCTATGTGCAGCACAGTGATGATGTCACCACTACTTTTACAGAGTAATATCTGGGTTTGGAAAAGCATTCTGTGCACAAAAAGTGAACTTATTTTCTTTCTGTAGTTCGGTTTTTAAACACACACAAACCAGTGGAAATGTAATTTGTGGTGTGTACGAACCATTTATATGCAGAAAATAAATGCTGTCTACACCTGCCCTGAAGGAATGGAAGTCAATTGTAGTGGCACATGTGAACAATTATGGTTTAATTGTTCACATGTGCGCAATCCAGACACCTTCCGCTGACATTCCTTCAACTTGTATTGCAGACCTTTAATCCATGGGCTACATAGACAGTTATGTTTGAAAGGATGGATGAATGAATTTCATGTTCATTTGCTTCAGTAGAAATGTTTATTGTACCTTTACAAAAGTGATCATATGCCCATATGATTTTTATATCAAGTAGGTGCGTGGAATCAGCACTCAGTGAAAAAAAACTGTATAGCAGACTGCACTCAAAGGGCAATACGCCAAACCCTGCAAAATAGAACACATATAAATAGTGCAGTGCTCAAAAAATGTGAATATAGTGTAAAAACAGAGTGAACCATCTGTGGAGTAAACCAAAATTAAATAAAGTGACTGATTAAATCAACAAATATTGCTTCCTTAAACAATAAGTGGAAAATGTGAAATCCATAAAATAATATATACATATATATCAAAGTCCATAAAAGATAAATATAGTGCTATCTTGAATAGTTCAGGGTTGTGGGTATTTTCCTTTGAGAACATCCAGGTGATTAAGATGTTTTTCACATACTTCACTGTGACACCCACCACCAGCACACCATACTCACCAGAATGTATGGCTCTGTATAATCATTCAACACCGCAGCCTCATATCATCAGATGTGGTTCCTTTAAGAAGAAAGCCTCCTGGAATGGTATCTCTTGGGGCATAACTATCCGAAGCCAGCAGGTAGATTGTGTAGCAGTCTGGAACAAGTGTTCAGCAGCAGGAGCCAGATATGGAGTGCATAATGTAGAATTTTTTTTAAAATCCAATTAGCACAGACATATAGAAAAATGGATTGAATCACAAAAATAGCCACCGCAACCAGAATCATGTAGTGGCATGACGTCAGCACCCAACGTGTTTCTTGCTCTAGCTCATCCTCAGGGGTCAAAAAGTGCTGATTGTCAAATGTCTCCTATATAAACAAAACGTCCATAAACATGAATGGAGCTGTATCAAGTTGCCATATTGCTGGAGCCCGGCAGCCATTTTCCCATAGGCAAAAAACAATTGACTAAAAATATGTGTGGCCACCATTTTAACAAAGTCTGGCAGCCATTTTCACTTACTTAAAAAAACTAAAATACTCCACCATTGATTAAAATGGAGCCATATAGGCTCACTGTCTTAATACAGCATAACAGCCTATCATTATATTGCCAGAGCCCAGTAGCCATTTTCCCATAGGCAAAAAATCAAAAGGATAAAGCTACATGCGACCGCCATTTCAAAGAAGTGCAGCAGCCATTTTCCCTAGTTAAAAATGAATATTCAACCATTAATTTAAACACAGCATCATGACCATTTTCTTATAGATACTGATTAAGCACTTGCTAAACACCATGGATCTAATATTTTCCCATATTTTATGCCGCCATTATCAAACATACAAGTAATATTTTTTAATATATAAGCGATCATTAAATTGTTACTAAACCCACAACAGTAAAATTAGCCTGTATATGTATATATAAAAAATATATAGTAAAGCATGCTTGTTATACTCACTGTGGAACCTAAGAGCTGTTTGACCCTTTCTTCTCTGTTTCTCCCCTTTTTCAAGGGACCACCTCTTATCTCCTGATAAGACAGACTGAACCATAGGCATTGCACATGCTCAGTTTGGTGTGTATTGCTAGAGAGGTTTTTTTTTTTCCCTTGGGAGAGTGCATGTGATCAGCACAGGGTCAATCAGCACTGGTCAGACAGAGGTCAGGGGTTTTGCATCCTCCTAGAACAGAAAGAAAACTCCTCCTAGAAGCTTTAGCTAGTGCTGGGCCTGACACAGCAGAAGTCATAAGACTGCTCTAACTGCTGATGAGAAAAGGTATTTAGCAGTTCATATTTACTAAAATAATTGCATTTCCGTGTTCTGTGTACTGTGGGAGATCAGATATAGTAAATGCAGGGTCCGGGTTTTAGTAGCACTTTAATAAAAAAAATAGATCTTAAATAAAGAAATCCATAATATAAAGTATATAACGCAGCGGTTCCATATACTTATTATATTACAATTCCAGTCTTCATGTAAACCACCAGTATAAAGAGGCGAACAGCCATATCATTGAAGCCAAAATGCAAACTGCAAAAAATATAAGATAAAAGGGAGTTTCCTTTCTCCAATAAATAAACTAATACTAAATGGACTGTAGTTAATGGGAAAATATGGAAAATATCAAGGACAGTAAAAATACCTCAATAAAGGCAAAGAGAGAATGATTAAAAAATATAAATAAAAATTAAAACGAAAATTAAAAGGATAAACACAGCCTGATTTACCAGGCAAAAGAAGAGATCCATTCAAAATAATATATTTGCTAAAGATTGACAGTTACAAAATGGAAAACATCCTGGCAACAATTTAAATAAAATAAAATAAAAATAATAAGCTATCTGTAGGATGGTAAAAAAAAGACTAAAAACATACATATAGTGAAATGTGAGAATAAAAAAAAATGTATATAGTGAGAATAAAAACAGCAATGGTTGGATACTGATGGAGAAATTGTATATTTTATATTTCTTTATTTAAAGTTGTCTAATTGTGTCACAATATTTAAGGCTGCCTCCAAGCCTTGGCTAAGGCTCCGTACAGGACAAAATCTGGTTACTTTGTATGATCTTTTACCAAAGGAATGTGATTGTAAAC